TCAAAATGGGATCAAACTGGGCGAGGACGCTCCACAATTGCAGGCGGGTGTTTTTACGTATAAAGAGTAACTGCTGAAAAAACAATACTAGAAAAATAGAAAGCACAAACACCTAAATTAGGGCATGTTTGGTTAGCCCCTCCTAAAGTTTAGTAAGATAAACACTATAACTAAATGGGATTAAATGGGCTTAGCCAACTAGTCACTAAATTGTTGCTAAAAGAGACTAAACATCACGTTTTAGTCACTTTGAGGCCAAACATCCTGACTAAAAGGGCCTAAAAGTCCTTTTTTAGTCTCTTTTAATCACCCAAACCAAACACCAAGTGACTATAGTTTAGTTCCTACTTTAGGTGACTAAAGTTTAGGAGAAAGAAACCAAACAGGGTCTTAATCAAAAGAGACCTACCTGGATGGCTGGATGACACCATTCACCGTATATAGGGCCTGTTTGGCAGGGATTCAGATTCACCATATTCGAATTCATTAGCTTGGATCCACCAAAATATTTCCCAAACGGTCTAGATCCACCAAATTCAGATTCACCAAATGATGTATCTGGGGGCTGGATTCACTATTTTAGTGGATCTCTTCAAGGAATGCTCCACGAATAGATGTTTCGTACCTCCTTGTGGATTTGAGTGGAAATTACGCACCTTTGTCACTGGTTACACACCCCCTTCATACGTACCGGTTCGATTCTTTTTCTTCCCACCCCGACCGCACCCCTTCTCCTCCCGAGGCAGCCGCACCGCCCATCCTCTCCCTCCATCCCTCCCATCCGGTGAGCTCCCCCATGGCCGGATCCATGGGGAAGGCCGCTCCTAGGGTTGGGTTGTCTCGTCAGCTTTGGAGCGCAGCCACCGGAGCTCCTCCTCCCGGCGTCGCTGCCAGCGGCATGCCCTCTTGGGGCATGCCTGGAGTCGCCGCCGGTGCATGCCCCCTTAGGCAACCATGGCCGTTCTTGGCCCAACCGGCGCATAGGGAGTCACAATAGAGGCCTCGAGCCCGGCATGGCCGACGCACAGGCTGCCACGGCCGGCCTCTAGGCCGCCGCGGCCGGCCACTAGCCTGCCATGGTCGCCGTCCACCAGTTCGACCCGGCCGGCCAGCAGGCTTCCATGGCCACTGGTGGTTCTTTGTCGTCGCAGCAAGAAGCGAGGACACGTGCTCCGTCGATCAACAAGAGGGAAAGAGATGATGAGGTATACATTTCTCTTCTTTTTTTGCAGCAATAATACCATTGTGGGGAAATCTTGATTTGGGTGATGAAAGAATTGTGGGAAATTAATGTCAGGGTGATGCTATGGACTGGTTTGATGGTTACACCTCGCTTGTTTGTAACTTGTTCGCCGAACAAGTTTGAAAAGGGAATCGGCAAAACACTCATTTGAACAATGTAGGCTTTATCGAGGTGTCTGATAGGTTTTTTCAGTCCACCGGAATAATGTTGTCTAAGCAGCAACTAAAAAACATTCGAGGACCTCCATGGTTTATTGGTGGAAAGGTACGGGCTAAAAGCTTCCTATCATATGTCTACCTATAAGAGCCTTGCCATATTTTTATTTACATGTGCTGGAAATGATTCGAGCCAAAAAGTTCAAAATCGGTTCAAGCATTCGGGTGAGACATGGTCTAGGAAATTTGATGAGGTCCTTAACTCTTTGATGGCCATGGCAAATGATTTTATTAGACCTAAGGACCCCAATTTTCCTACAGTTCATAGGAGGATTAGAGATGATAGACGAGCGTATCCACATTTTAAGGATTGCATTGGTGCTCTAGATGGTACGCATATTCAAGTTTCTCTTCACCCCGATGAACAAGTGAACTATATTAGAAAAACAGGGATACCCACCCAAAATGTCTTAGCAATTTGTGATTTTGACATGCAGTTCACATGTGTATCCACGGGTCGGTCAAGCGGGATCTATGCATGACACAAGTGTGCTATACAATGCAATCAATGTGGACGAAAAATTCTTCCCACATCCCCCTCAAGGTAATATGAATGAATAATTAATCGTTTATTCTCTTTTGCATGATACAAAATATTAACTTATATTGTTTTCACCATGTTTAGGCAAATACTATGTTGTTGATGTCGGTTATCCTAATCGGTATGCCGGAGTGGCATAGAGGTACAGAACCCAAAACACCTAAGGAAAAATTCAATTGCATTCACTCTTCTATTCGAAAATATTATTGAGAGGTCTTTTTGAGTTTGAAAAATGAAGTGGCAAATTCTATACAAGATGCCCAACTATCCGATGTGGAAGCAAAAAATGGTGGTTGTTGCTTGTATGGTCCTTCACAATTTTATTCGTGAGCATGATAGTGAAGATGCGGACTTTGCTCGTTTCGATCGTGATCCTCATTTTGTCCCAACAATACCGGAAAGGTATAACAAATATGCAGTTACATCGGATGGTTCTACATCGAAAGCCAATGCCGCCACTATGGATAAATTTCGTGATGACTTGGCCACGGCTCTTGCTATTGCTTGGAATAACTAGCATGTAATGGAAGACTAATCCTCATTTTGTGTGTCATGGACCTTTGCTCTCTTTAGATATTTTTATGTATGAACAATTGTAATATTGTTGAGATGTTGTCATGGACAGGGTTAATTAATCATCTATTTTGTGTGTCAAGATATTGCATTTCTGTTAAAAAATATAAAAGATGCGCTCTACATGTATCATATTACGACCCAAGGGCAAAATAGACCATTCATAACAAAACAGACCATTCGTGAATCTGGATTTACTATTTTGCCAAACAGTTTGTTGGTAGATCCAGGGTGGATCTAATTCATGGTGAATCTCAGATCTAGATTCACTTTTCCAGTGATGAATCTCTACTAGACATGCCCATAATCTCGGCTGCTTATTATGGATGAGATTCTTCTTCCCTACTTAGCACGAACCAGCGCCAAGTTGAAGGCGCCAGTAACTGAGTAACACCGGATTGTTCATTTAGTTCCGTATCTTAAGAATGCTATAAAGGCACTAAATGGTTTTAAGGTATAACAATTAACCGACAATAAACAATAATATATAGAAGTCCACTGCTGTCAGGTTGTGCTGGCCCAGGCACGACTAGCGTACCAGGTCGGGGTGTGCTAGTGTTGTGCTTAATTAGGTCATGCCTTGTGTCATCCGTTGGGCCCGACCCATCTAGCCAACTATATGTCTATATGTGCGGCTTATTATGGGACTACGAGTGCATTGTATTAAAAGTATTGCCATGACATATGGTCCATTTAAATAAGGCCCACGTGTGTGTTGATGTGGAATTGTGGAGGGTTAGTTTCATCCTAGTTGTTGACCAATTCTGGGTTGGTACTTTTATATGAAGCGAGAATGAATTAAAGTGGGCTGGTAGAAGTGTATGGTTTACACACATGCCACCTATAAAGTAAGAAAAAACATATCGAGTGGATCTGAGCCGTTTATCATGTCATATAAAGTTAGAAGAAGAAAGGACGAGCGTAAGTAATAGTTGGTACAGGTTATGCAGATCACTCAGCTTGTAGGGTAGATCTGGACCGTTTGTATAGGAGAGGGGCAAGAATAATAGATTGGTTTTTTATTTATAGGAGAAGAGGGGCAAGAATACTATTGATTTTGATCCATTATGTGTGATGTCTCAATATATTTGTAGACCGAAAAGTTGAAATGTCTCGTCTTGGACCGAACTCCTTTTAGAGAGAGTATATGTTTACAACTATTTTGGGCTATAACAACTCAATTCCTATCGAATTCCTATAGTAAAATTCCTATAGGGTAAAACATACACTGGGTTTATACCCCATATGAAAGAAAAGAAGACAAAGGTGTCTATCCTATGTTGACCATAAGCATGGTAGAAAGTATAAGCAAAGAATAGAAAACAAATCACCGGTGAGGAGCGTGAAAGTCAAGACCAAATCAAATTGTATTTTTAGACAATCAGCAGGTGGGAAGGCTCCTTTTTAGAGAAATCATAAGTTTATGACTCTTTTGCTCTATAAGGCAAAGATTTTGATCCTATATTTACCGTGAAATTGGTAAAAAAATATAAACAAAGAAATAGAAAACAAATCTAATTATGTCATAGCTTATCAGGAATGAAAAAGTCATGACCACATCAAACTGTATTTGTGGGTACTCAGCAGGTGAGACAGCTCCAAAATATGAATCAAGTGTTTCCATCCCATTATGTGCCATGATTTGTTTGTCTTCAATATCTCATGTAACTATGAAACTGGCTGTGGATACAAGTATTTCACTATTCAGGGAGAGGCGAAGAAATGTGATGACAGTGATTAGTATTTAAAGTGCTATATGTTGTGGGGATGAAATGCATGAACCACCTCACAGAACTGGAATGATATACAGTAGTCACAGCCAAACGAGATGAGTTAATCGATCATGCATCTTTCCTTCCTTTGCCCTCCTGAAAAGACACATATACACGAAAACTACATATTGGCTGAGCATTCTTTTGGGCTTGACTGATCCACACTCTCACAGGCACTTTTTTTAGAAGGCAATCTCAGAAGCACTTGTCTAAGCACGACATTGGCTGACCGACGAATACAGGCCTTTAGTGAGAGGCTGATTGGAAGCCCATGAGACTGATAGCAAGCAGGAGAGTTGGCTCATAGTGAGTATCTGAGAGCGTAAAAGCGACCTGTTCAAATTTTTTCTTAATATTTCTTTTAATTTAATATAATACTTGAGATCCTTTTCTATTTCATATAATTTCATTTCATTTTTCATCTTTGGAAATGTACTACACTTGCACAGTCTCTTGAATTCTTGGCACACTATGATTCAACCTGAAATGGCATCTCCCAACTCCCAAGCGGGTTCGGGAGTTCAGCTACCTTCTCTCCATACAGAGTAGCTAGCTAACAGTACATGGCACAACAGCCTGAATAAATCGAAATACGTATACCAGCCTTCGCTGTTGAACTGACACATTATAGACTTCATCATCTGAATTCTCAGTTATCAGTACTCCACTGAAACTGTCCACAAGTACAGTTCTTGTTCGGGGAGGCCAAGCTCAAAGGTGACCAGACCACAGGCATCATCGTAAGAGAAACCAATCGCCTTCGAATCGACGGCGACACTCTTCGGCTTGGTGGAGGAATAAGCTCCGACCATGCCCGAGCCCCGCATTTTGAGCTCAACGACGTCCGAATCCTCACCGAATCTCAGCTCCCTCACCGCGCCACCGGAGTTGAACATGCCAACCAGACCAATCGGCGCGAACGAGGCGCCTTTTGGCAGCTGCTTCAGAGGGACAACGGTGAACACCTCGTACTCGCGTGATCTCAGTGTCACAGGCAGCAAGGCGTTCTTCGGCAGGTACACCACCTCCCCTGAAAATAAACACACAAAGGTTGCTTGTCACTGATCTGACAGATCAGGTGGTTGTTAAGATGAAACAGAAAAGGGTCACGAGACTATGTGTCCTAGCTTGACAATGATTCATACATCATCAGGGAGATTAAAAATGATGGGTTTACCTCCTACGTGCGAATACACGATCACATCACCGTTCCAGCTGTGATCAGCAACCTTTGCAAGGTAGCCCACATCCTGTGCCCGGATGACGCCGGTCACCGTTCCGGGCTGCTCATCGTGGATGAGGTTCTTCTTCCCTACCTGGCACCAACCGGCACCTTGACAGTTGAAGGCGCCAATGACACCGGAGTGTTCGTTCAGATTCCATATCTTGAGAATGCTGTATAAAAAGCATCAGATGGTTTCAGTGTGGTGTCACCGTGTCAGCAGTCAATTATTGGTAAACAGGAATAGATAGAACTAGAAGTCCACTGCTAATTAACCTTTTGCCGTCCCTTGCGGGATCAGAGAAGAGGCAATCTCTAGTTGGTCTCCCAGGGAGTTTTGCACGCAGGATCGATCCGTCAGGAAGCACAAGCTTCTTAAGCAGATTGAAGTCATGGTTTCCAGGCTTGTCACTGCAGAATAAATATCTAAGTTAGTACATGTAATCAATGCAATGCAATGTAAATCACTCAATGTTGCTGCCCTGACTTTTTTTTTATTTACCTGACATATATGGCACAACCACCAACCGCTCGAGCTGCAGCATGGTATTCAGCCATCGGATGAACACTCTGGAAACAAAAAGCATGTCAGCAGTCAGCGCATACAAGAGTGACTCATGCACAAAGCGAGCAGGAAAAGGAATTAGGGATGATGATGCTCACATGGAACATGTCCCAATCTGGCTGCATGAATTCACCAAGAAAAATGGTGTTATAGGCGACAGATGCAATGTGTATGGTATGGGAAGCAGGGTCTCTCGGCCAGAAATCATCAGAGGCTCTAATCACCGCGCTCCGTTTTGAACTGTAGCAAGAGCATGTGAATAACCACAATTTTCAGGTAATTGCACCAACTACCAAAGAAAGCTTTCAAGATATTTTGCTAAAAAAACAAAGCTTTCAAGATATTTCAGCGTAAGCTATTTACCCGTATAGGTTGTCAGTGTTGTGGCTCATGCATGATATGATGCCATTGTCAGGGAAGTTCCTAGCGACGGAAGCTTCTAGAGCCTGCTGGTACTTTCTAGCTAGCAGTACCCTTCCCCCATGGCCAGCACCCAGCGTCTCAAGGATGTTCTGCACGTCTACCTTGACCCCATCGATCCCAGCAGATGCAAGATACGAGTGGAGTTCATTGTAGAAACTGAATACTTTCTCAGGGTTCACAAGGCCCAGTCCATTGGTCGTTATGCTGTCCAAAGCATCGCAGGGCTCGTTTTTCTGAACCCCTGGTGATGACACAGGCTGCTGCATCTTTGATTCGTAGTGCTCCATTCCAGCTACACCTGGCCTGACTCCACCCCAGTATCCAGTAATGGCATGCCATACATACACATACCTGAGTTGTTTGACACAACATGTCAGAGAGATGACTTTCGAATTTTTTTTGTCATCTGTAATAAATGAATAAGAACAACTTATCCAATATAATGGTGTCATACTTTAGCTCATGTTTCCCTTTGATTTCATTGACGATGTGTGCTAGGCCCTTTGCTGGATCATCTTCCCTGTGACCCTCTCTGCCATTTTTCTGAAACTTGTGGTTCTCCTTAATGTGAGTCAACCTGTTTGCAAAGCTAATAGACATAATAGGGAAAGTTCAGAATCTGAACTGACTCTCTACATTTTGTACATAAATCAAGTAGTATGACTGGCGAAGTGTACTATGTTTAGACTCCTTGCTTACTTGGCTGAGTTATCAGATAAGCAAGCGATTCCCACAGGATCCATAGCGACCGACTGCCATCCGTCGTCAATTATGACAAATCTAGGAGAAACCCCACCTTTCTCAAAGCTGGAAAAAAAGAGATATATAGGTATATTGGTATTTGTTAAGCATATTGATATTGTCTTACGTATTTATATCCTGGAAAATGCGTGAGATGCTAAATACCTCTGTAATCCTTCCTTCACTCCTTGAGCAGTGACATTGGTGTAGAATGCATCCCACGTGCACCAACCAAACCAGTTGAGCATGTCTGGCATCTGCAGCAAGTTGGAAATTTCAGAACTCTGTATAACAGAAAGCAACCCAAACCTAAGATACCATTTTCCCAAGCAACATCTCACTACCTTTTTCTTTTCCCTGTGAGAAAACGTCTGCAAGTGCCTCTCAACGACTCTGCAGCAAGTTGATCGATGTCGTTTCGTGAGCGAGGAAATTGAATTTGGAAGCTAAACACGACATGCAGCATGATAATGGACTAAAATAAGAGGACGTTGTAAGAGAAGAAGGCATTGACTTACTTTACTGAATTTGTGATGACATCGAACGGATCCGATCCGGCACCAACAAAGACCAGATGGGAGCCTTCGAAGGATTCCACATCTGGATCGCCTGAATCATGACAGCAAAGAATACTATTAGTACTATATACTATTATTAGTACTATATATACCCCATCACACAACTGTACCAAGTCAAAGAAGAGATGATTATATATGTAGTGGTGTCTGTTACCCCACTTACCACTCTCTAAGCAAATCTCCAGCTCATCGTCAGCGTTCCCCTGAAGAACAGCACGGAATGAGCCCTCCAGTATGGGGAGGAAGACGGTGTACACGACAGGTCGCTCGCCAGTGCCATCGCCGGTGGACTGCAGTCCATCGGTGCCTTCGACGATCAGGAACTGCGTCTCGAAGGGGATGTCGCGGCCTGATGAGCCCATCCTCTGCGTCATCCACCACATCTTGAATCGGAACGTGCACATGAACCGCTGGTCCCTGAAGCAGAGCAGAATACTGTGTCTTCAGAATTCTTTCAAACCTTATGGTTCCTTTATATTAATTATATTACTCCTAAGTAGTATTGGAAATTCAGATTTTGTTTTGGGCAGCCAAGGGGTCATTTCTCCCTCCTTCTTTTTGATATAAAACAAAGCATCCGAAGAATCCTTCCAGCAATTTTAAAACTAAATTTTAAATTTTAATAAAATTTCAGTAGGGGGCAGCCCCTCCTGTTTCCTAAAAAAAAAAAAGAAGAACAAAACTATGTGTTGAAATAACGTAGCAGTTTTACCCCTGACGCTGACAGTGATAGGAACATGTCGAATTTACTGCACGCCTAAAAGCTTGGCATCCCAGCAACTACCAGTCATATATGATATAAAACTTATTATAATGCATAGCTCAGCGCACACTCTGACGGGACTAGTGTCCGAAATCAACATTGGAAGTGAATCTGAATCGTCCCAGCCCAAAAGGCAAAGGCCGAAACCGAAGACAACCAAACAGACAGAGCTGCGCCCGTACCGGAGCTTCCCGACGGGGAAGACGCTGCGGCTGCCGGCGGGTGCGGAGCGGACGCCGAGGAACGCGCCGTTGGTGAGGCCTCCGCCGGCGGCGGGCGTGACGAGCACGTTGGGGCGCACCTCCCGCAGGACCTTGGCCCCCAGCGCCAGGAGGCTGCCATCCTGGACGGCGATCCCGGCGCCCACCGTCATCTTCATTCGATTCGAATCCGTGTCCGCAGAGGCGCTTGGGTTATCAGCGGCGAGTTGGCGAGGAGCTCTGTGTGGTCCGGCGACGCTTGACTGGGCTGGGCACGGTTTCGGCTCGGCCGCGCTCCTCTCTGCTTATATGTAGCGCTCGGACTCGGAGTCGGAGACGGGGGAGGTTTTGCACTTGGCCCCCTCGGTTGCTCTTCGGTGCATGTGAACGCTATAAACTTTGTGGTGGCATGGTAGTAGTAGCACTGCGCGCGTTAAACTGGAAACTTGTTAGAGTTCTTTTCCCACGAAGAAACTAGTTTGAGTTCATACTCTATTTTCTATACCGTCTCTCTCTCTCTCTCTATCTATCTATATATATATATATAAAGAGCCAAAATTTCTGACCAGCTTTTTCTTTCGTCCAGCCCTGCCCCGTCACCGACTTGATCACGTTTCTTTTCTATTTTCATGGTTGCGTTAATATTGCAAAAGGAGATTAGGAGTGTGGAAGAGAATAGAAACAAATACGGGGTTCCAGATATAAAGATGCCAAAGTGAAAGAAAAAGTGGGAGAGCCTTAATAGTTTTTGAAATAGATCAGGTTTTTTTATGTAAAATGTCTAGATCAAAGTGGACCTATCCTGGGGACTTTTTTTTTTGACCGGGGTTGATTTCTTGTTAATACTTAACCGATCAAATATTAGTTTAGATTTTTCTGTACTTTTTTCTTCAAGAATTTTTTTCAATACGTTGAAGTTATAAAAAACAAAACAGATCTCATGGTTAAGGAGAGAACGTGAGTATATTTTTTCCATGCGTTTTTTTTCTTGAATACTTTTTTATGTAAGTTAAAGGTGTGTAAACGTGAGTCCAGGAGTTTTTGCCATGCGTTTTTATCTTTAGGAAAAAAATGTTTGTTATCTAGTATATAATTGCGGAGGTGGATAACTTTTAAAAAACAAAACAGATCTAATGGCCAGGATAGTTGGAGTCCTTGGATTAATGGCAAGATGTTTCCATGAGTGCAGGAGTTTTTGCCATACGTTTTTATCTTTAAGAAAAAAATTTGTTTGTTATCTACTATATAATTGCAGAGGTGGATAACTTTTAAAAACCAAAACAGATCTAATGGCCAGGATAGTTGGAGTCTTTGGATTAATGGCCAGATATTTCTGATTAATGTGACAATTTCTAGCATTTATCTTTTTTGTAGGGTTTCTAGTGAGGATTAACGTGGGGGCTCTATTAGAGCCTCTAATTAGTAATAGTAAGATAATTTGATAAGGAACATATTTTTAGTAAAATATGAATTAGTCGATGGTTTAACTAATCAAAACGTGAACAGAAAACTTGAGTAGCTTATTATCTAATCTAGTCTAAATAAATGTATCTCATCAATCACCGATGAGGGATATCACGTGAAAAATCAAGAGAGATTTGGGGTCATAATCACCAATTGACACTAATCTTTAACACATTGGCAACTAACTCCTTGTTGACTTTAATCAAAGATCAAAATTATAGATTTTTATGGGTCCTCAAAAGCCATGGGAATCGATAGCAATGTAATAACCAATAAATAGCAAGCTATTGATATTTAGCAGCAAGGCTATCTTGAGGTTAAGAGTCGGCTATAGCAATTTATAGCAGGCTAAAACAACTAAGCTATAGCCCACAATAACGGCACCTGTAACCGGCTGTTTGTTTACTTGAAATATAGCAACACATGGATAGAATAAAAATTAAAATTAAAATTTATTTATGCCTAAATATTTATGGGTTTTGCAATAGAAGAAAAGGTTCTATCAAGATTGTATTTTAGTTCAGGCTTAATAATACACTATCTTATTGTTGCCAATCACTAGTAACTTATATTTTTCATCCGAGTCATGGTTATCACAAAATTTTTGCGCCCAGATTAGAGAATTATAACTTTGTCTCCAACTTTTGCAAATGGCTTTTAAAACACCAACCGGGACTAAATGGATATGTTGGAGCCACCATTTCTCAACCTTTAGTCTCCACCAATCGGGACTAAAGTTTTTAGTAGTTTTTACTAAAGGTCCCTCACGGGTCAATTTAAAAGTAGGAGCATAGGAGGACTATGTCACATGTGGTGTAAATTGAGTTGGTAAGGAATCTATTGATGAGAGAGGTCTTGTGTTCAATCCCACACAGTAGCGAGTCTCAAGAAATTCGTTTATTTTTTGTTGTAGGAAGCTTTTACTACCCGGGACTAAAGGGTGGCTTTAGTCCCGATTTTACTCCCGGTTGGGAAAGGATTAAAAGTTCCCAATCAAATCTCTCTAATTGAATATTAACTTATATTTTGATGTCATGGTTATCACAAAATAAATTATAACTTTTAAATTTTGCAAATGGCAAAACATAAATAATATGTACAATTTCTATCTTCGTTCCCCATACATGCTTCAGTATCTTGGCGACCCAATAGCTATATATACAAAGCTACACGGTTGATGCAATCAAGGCGATGCTTGGATCCTTTGTCGGCTACTGTTTTTATAACTCACCAAGCTAGAGACTAGGGCCCGTTCGCTTGTCTTAAATTTGGCTTATTCGACTTGTTTTTCAGTAGGACGATAACTTTTTCTCACCAATTCAAATTTTAATAGAGACTCCAAAGTTCGAGAGAACCGGGCCTAGAGAGAAATAAGTACGTACATGTTTGATTAGTGGGCGAGATCACCCAGATAGTCAAGGTCTTTTCTTGCTTCCATCCAGGAGTGAGCCAATCTGGCTTGCTCAGACCGACAAAGTTAACCTTGTTAGGCCAAGTGAGACGAGGCAAGGCGAGGCAAGTCGGCGAAGGAACCGAGCATGTCCTTGAACTAAATGGGGTTCCTTTGCCAACGTCAGTTCGATTTGTCATGCTAGCGCCTAGCGGGATGTATATTCATGCATTAACCAACGACGAAATATTTTTCTTTAGGTACCCATTTATTTTTGTCTATAATAAAATAGCACGTACAAACATTTCACATTTAAACATATGAGACTATATATGACGAGCATGCACCTGTCATAGGACTTACACGAATAAAACCACCAAAAGCACGCTTCTGTCACGCACATCTTGCCCACCATTTGGATTTGAAAGCCATGCATGGTGCGGATAATGTCGTGCCACCATGCATGCCTCTACCATTGGGTAAAAGTAAAACAGATGGTTTTTGTGCGACTTTTCCCCCCTTTTTTTTTCCTATCGTGGTCTCCTTCGAAACTCTAAGAAACCAATAGCTTTTCATCGGCGCGTGATCAATCATTAGTATTAGTATATAATGTAATCTAATCATGCGTGAGACTGATGATGATTTCCTTCTAGAGTCTATCTGACGTTGCGATCAAGCGGCGTGCAAGCGAGAGTATCTCTATGCCACGCATAATGCAATACTAGTATATGGCTACTATTACTATTTGGGTTATAATAGATAGAAGTAGCCAATGGGAGCACGCATCCAGCTGTCTTGTCCGTAGTCCACGGATGCGCTGACTCGTCCGGAATCATCACCGCCACATGCGATCCGAGTCGGACGACGCTGACCCCAGGAGAAGCCATCATGCCACGTCAGATCTGAAACGGAAATCGGTAACCGCGGCACGCGTCATCGGTCATCGTCATATACAGGCCTCGTTTCCTTAAAAAAAATTAGTCCCTATCAGGTTAATATATGCATGAAGTATTAAATATAGACTAAAAAAATAATTAATTGTACAGATTGCGACTAATTTACAAGATGAATTTTATCGGATTCATAAAACCGGGGTCCCCAATGGCCCAGCAGGCGGCGCAGCGACAACGCGCGTCTGGGATGGCCCAAATATATAATGACAGGCCGAGACCATGATCCGGTCCCCGACCGGCACCTCCGGCCAGGAGACCTGATCGGAGACCCGACCGGAAGGCCTGGCCGAGGTGGGACCGCAGTCCGACTCCGACCCCATTCCTCCGACCGAGGATATACCGGACCTTTGCTCGTCTCTCTTTCCCGACCGACACGGTCGGGCCGACTGGGAATGACCGACCAGGACGCCTGCTCGGTGTGGGCCCAGGGACCAGGCGGAGCAGATAAGGTAAGGTGCTCAAGTCAACCGTAATACCGAGGACCATACCCTACCATGCCATGCGCACCTGTAGGACGGTGCCGTCAAGCCATGTCAGACGAACACTATACAGTCTGCTAGACGCGACAGAGCACAAACAGTATTGTGGGCGTCGTCGTTTGCTGCCAGGTCATGAATAGTAAGGTGGGCGAACACTGTGCAGCCTGCTAGGTACAGCAGGTCATGAACAGTAAGGTGGGCGATGACGTGTCGTACCCGATGGCGTGGGCAACAAGATTAGGTAGCACCCGTACACACTCTCTCCCTTTCTGTCTTTGACTTGTAAGGCCATCCTCTTTATCTATAAAAGGGGATGCGCTATCTCCTCTGAGGACACAGAAAAAAAAACTCAACAGTTCTAGAGCTCGACAGCTACACAGTCTACACACTCTCAATAGCTGATAAGCTCGGACACACAGAGTATACGCTCAATACTTAGCGCACGTTTGAGCATCTGTCACTTTCTTTCACTCGGTTCAGAGTCCGACCGGGCCTCTAACACCCTCCTTCTCATTCCTTACTTGTTTGCAACCCGACAGCAAACTTCGAGTACCTGGGCTCAAGAATAAAGTCATTGACCGACTGAAACTAGATGTAGGGCACGTTGCTTGAACCAGTATAAATCCTGCGTTATCACGTGCTAGGCCACATCCGATCACAACGCACGACAAAACTATAAATATTTACTTGTTGACCACATTTCGCACCGATAGTTGGCGTCGTCTGTGGGGAGGACGCCATGCGTTTTTTGGTAATCGGATGGCCCACCTTTCCACCATCATCGACATGGTGGGCTCGAGCGATACGATTCGCTTTGGCTCGCTGGAGTTTCCCACACTCTCACTTGTTGGGATGTGGGTTCCTTCCGTCTTCGAGCCGCTCCAGAC